TTTCCTTGGTTCTCCAGATCATTCTTGTCCCCATGGAGGTGGCCATAGAGGACATGCAGAAGAAGACTCAGGAGCTCGCCTTCGCTACAATCCAAGACCCTGCAGACGCCAAGATGCTGCAGATGGTGCTGCAGGGCTCTGTGGGCACCACAGTCAACCAGGTTCCTGTTTAGATACTTATAACCATAATGCATTTAAAAGGTCATAATCCCACATCCTCCTTGAATATTAATCCCATTCAAATGGGGTTGAACGTCTGGGTCAGACGAGTAGTGACAGACATTCCTTAGCAGATATGTAACGGTTTCTCCCCCGCACAGGGCCCCCTCGAGGTGGCGCAGGTCTTTCTCTCAGACATTCCTGATGATCCAAAGCTGTTTCGCCATCACAACAAACTGCGCCTCTGCTTTAAAGACTTCACTAAGAGGTGATGACACACTGCACGGCCCAGACTCAGACTGCTGTGTAACTAATAAAAAGAAAAACCTCAACTCCCTGCGTCTTCTCTGCTCTTTTTCGTGCAGGTGTGAGGATGCCCTGAGGAGGAATAAAGCCCTGATTGGACCAGATCAGAAGGAGTACCACAGAGAGATGGAGAGGAACTACAATAAACTGAAAGAAGCTCTGGGTCCTCTCATCAACCGCAAGATCCCCCAGCTATACAGAACACTGCCAGCTCTGGCTACGCAAACACAACGGTAACTTGAGACAATAACACACACACAAACGCCTGCGCACAGAAACACACACAATGAGCTCATGCTACTTCTCCAACAAGAGCAACTTGAAACCAAACTGTACTATACTCCAGGTCATAGACTCATAGTGATTGGAAAACGGTCACATTTCTCAAAGATCTCACATTCATTTGTGAAGGAAAGTCGGTGTACCTCTTGAAGTATTAAAGCCTGTTCGACTATGGAAGATATCACCATATGTTTTTAGTTTTCATCAGCTTTTGGCATCTGCTCTGTGTTTCATGTCAGGGTCTGAGGACTGCTGCTTCATAATGAAAGACAGGGCTACAGTCAAAAGCACCTGCCAGGGGGATCCTTTAAAACTGGGGACAAATGTATTTTTAAAGGTGCCAATTCAGAGTATATTTATTGCCTCCACGTGGCTCTGAACACGGCTACGACCCGGCGGCTCACAGCTAATGATGCTAACAGCGCTGAAGGTGCAAACAGCAGCAACAGTGTTTACCTGGGGGGGGGGGGGACTGGAGGACGGTTCGGCCAGGACGGCGTTACCGGCTTTAATCGCCGTATGAGCGCAGTGCATAGCGGCGGCCGTGAGCGAACCAGTGGTGCACACGCACTGGGAATCACATCCATAATATGCACACATGGCCCGACCGGCTACATAAACAAAGCACAAAGAAGCTCGAGTTACAACACACACACAGAGGGAGAGCTCAGATAGACATTTTAAACTATACCTTTACATAGAAATAGTTGTTCGCTGCTATATTAATACTCTGAATTTAGAATTTAGCACCTTTAGGATGTAATTGTTTCTTCCAGATTTAATAAACTAAAGGTAAATAGATGTTAAAACATGATATTGAGGCAACACTGAATAAAGTGATGAGGTGGTTTTACAGCATTCTTACTCTTTGAAAGCATCTAAAGTCAGACTTTTAGTGGGGCAGCTTTCACTCCCTTTAGAATAAACAATAATTCAAGTGTCACAGAACTCATTGCATTAGACCTTAATTCTGCAGGTTTTCAGATATGCCTTTTAGCACAATGAACCAAAACACTTAAAGTAAAACAATCTGTATCGTCTTGCTTTTCTCTCGCAGGAACTCCTTCAGTAGGTCCAGTCTCCGCAGAGTCGACTGTTGAGGCGCAGCAAACTGGATAAGAACACAGAAAAACAAGCTTTGCAAATTAGCCACATCTCATCCCGTCTGTTCCCCCTCCCCCCATTGATTGCACACCAACTGTCACAAGCACACACGCACCGTCCTCTTCCAGCTCGTTATTTTACCCAGCCACCCAGACACGCCATAATCCCCCCCCCCCCAGTCACCCTACCCCCCCCCCCCCACCCTCTTCCCCCCCCCCCCCCCCCCCCCCCGTCACCACCGCTCTCACACCTCTGTAGGAAAACTTCAGCTGTTTATACTGGAAGGTTATCTGCACTGTAAACACCGACATTCGGAGCAAGGCTCTGACATGTCAGCGTTTTAAACCAAGCTTTAAAAAGTGGTCTCTTTACAGTAATCTCTCTGAGCTTGATCAGGTTTAAACTTAAGTTTTTACAGGACTAGAGCTGCCAAACACATTTTGTATCCAAATCATTTGGGGGGAGTGCTCATGAGCTTATCTGTTTGTTTTTCTCTCTTCTGCTTCTAGTGTTTGCTTTTGAAGAGGCTGTAGTTTGTCTGTTTTTTGTCGAGGTCTTATTTAATTTGATTTTTTTCTAAACTATGCCTGGTAGTAGTCACTGCCAGACTTGGTTATTAAATAGTCCCAGGGAGTTTTCTTTTGTTATCAACAGACCAAATAACTGACATTCCTTCTTCCTCAAGTTGTCACATTTATCGGCCCATCTCTCGCTCTAACAATTCATTAAAGAGTCCGGCAGGAATGAACTGTAGCAGCAGTTTCAGAAGGAAAACGGATTATTTCAGTGGGAAAAGGCTGGATGGGACGTTAAACTGTGGTTTTTTTAAACTGTGAAATTCTCCTGTAAAGCACTGCAGTCACATCGTGTTTATCACAGTAGCACTGCCGTCATCCATCACCACCACCACCCTGCAGTGCAGTCTGATAGTTGAATTCATTTTTGCATTATGTTTGGTATAAGTCCTCTCCAGATGTTGTGTGTGTCCAACGCTCGGGTTGTGGCAGTTTTAGTTATTCATTGTAACTATTTCCAACTACTGTATCTATTATATTGCACTATTGTAAACAAACTGCAGCACGTTAACACTGTAACTACTAAAATATCCATGCTTTTGTTATTTTACGAGGCTGGAAACTGTTTGTTTTTTTACCAACTAGATAAACATTTTTTTTTTTAATTTATTGTCTTTTTTTACTGCCTTCTATTAAATTTCTCTTCATACTTCTCTGGTCAGCTTGTATTTGTGTGGGGCTACTGAGCAGAAGAATAGCTTTCCCTCAGTATTATACATTTATCAAAGTGTTGTGTGGTGACAATAACTGAACATATGTAATATTCTCTCGAGGAGTCAATAGTGACTTTGTACTAATGGTATAACATTGTGATATAGTAGGTCTGTGTAGTATCTGCAATGCTGTATAATAATCCATAGGGGAGTTGTATTTCGATTTATTATTTCTATTATAGTAGTTCCTTTTCGCAAAAGTTTTATTTTTGTGATCAGTTCTTTATTGTATATTTAAACGCAGAGAACAAAGCAAAAATAAACAACACAAAGGACATGACGGATTCAGACAGGACATGAAAAATAGGACAACCTCAGTGTTAAGTCTGGAGTCGTAAACTCATGCTGGCTTTGTAATCAAGAACTAAAACCAGGAACATCTGGTATACCTCTGTGGTGATTAACTTAACTGCAGTTAACTAAGTGATAGAACAGCTGAAAGTGAGTGTTGATTCACTAATTAGTTCACCTTTTATTGACTTTTGAAAGACGACCTGAAACCCTCAGCCCTCAGGTTCCTCTGCTAAATCACATTGCTTCCTACACTCACACAAACACTATCCACCAACCTTTGTGTTGCATAGAGACGAGGCAGGGATGGATGTGATCCAGATGTCTTCCTGGCCTCCCTTTTCCACACCATTAGTCTTAATTTCCTGTGGCGATACGATGATCCACGTTACAGCCAGCAATGTTGGTCTACTTCACCAGAATGAAGGGCCCTGCGCTTATGTTCAGGCACTTTACGAAGACTTGCGATGGCTCGGTCAATCAGAGCTGAGGACCGGAATTTTTCCACCGAACAAGATCACTCAGTACTCTACTGTAATTTAGTTGTAATGTGTTTAGTTAAAATAAAGAAAATAAAACTGTAAATATAAAGTTTTAAAATGTGAATCTCATCAATAAGTTGCAGACTTATATTTTCTGAATGGATATTAATGAAATATTTTGTGGGTGTTTGTCTTTTACATCTTATTACCTGAACATATGTCGAACATTCACATGTCGTTTTATTTATTTTATTTTATGTGCGTGTGTATTTGAGCTCTGGTCTCGTTTCCCCTTTCTCTTTTTCCCCCTTGAGTTTATTTTGAGGTTTGTCGATCCTTTAATGTCCTTGGAGTTTCTTACTGGTACTCGAGGAATCTTGAATGTTCTTGAAATTTCTTGTACTTCCTGGGAAGCTTGAGTTTCCCTGCTGGTCCTTGCAGAGATCCTAAAGTGTTCAGAGGATCTGGCAGGTCCTCCTGCTGAAGTTATTTGGGGTCCATGGTGAACCTGGGAGGCCCTTGGTGAAGGTCCTTAAAACACTATGAGCTTAGAGGGTCATGATGGAAAGTAAGTACATTTATCAATCTACTGTATTTATTTTTCAGATACTTGTTCCGTACAAGATCATTTGTTTTTCATGCTACCTTATATTTCTACTCCTACAGTTCAGAGTCTTATATTAATTTATTTTATACGCAAACTTATTATTTATAAAACATGATGCACTTTCATAGGTTATGCTTATTGAGTATATTTTGCTGTTAATACTTCTGTACTTTTACTTAAATAAGATTTCTACTATAGGTCTTGTAGTATTGAGGTATTGCCACTTTAGCTTAAGTAAAAGAAGGTTCTTTGTGTCCATAAAGGGCCACGGACGGAGGGCCATGGATGGCCTTTAAAGTCACTGAAGTGTTGGTGAAGGTATTTGGATTTCCTTGAAGGTCTTGTTCTTGTACAAGTGCATGAAGAAGCTTGGCTCCTCGGAGGTAAATGAAAGCCCTGTGAGATGATGGAGGCAGAGTGGGAGCTCCCTGATTGGCCTCGTGGTCGCTGGCCCTTTAAGAGGAGGTAGGGGGGTGGGATCGGAGCATCTTGGCTGCGGTGTTTTTGTCTCCGTCAGTGAGCGCTCCTCCTGGGCCGCTGAAAGGATATCCAGAGAGCAGGTAAGAACCGCTAATAACTTACGATTCCTCCGTTCGAAAACTGTGTCTCTTTGTCAGACTGTTATTTTAAAGTGCTGCAGACGAGCCGCCTTCTTGAGAGTGTGACTTTTGTGAAGCGTCGGTCCTGCCCATTCCCCGGTTTTCTCTCTCCGAAGTAACGGGTCCTTTATCCCCCAAAACCAACCCCGCTTCAGTAATACTCATATTAATACTCGCTCCTCATAATTATTAGGTTTCCTGATTTCACACGCGCGTTTCTTTACCTTTAGAAGAATGTTGAACAGTCTCATGGTCGCGCCTCCTCCGGCGCGTGCCTTTTTGTTCAGAGCATCATTGGAGGCTCTGCACGGCGGCGAGAAGCGCGTTAACATAAAATCTCTATAATATTATAATCATCATAATAATAATATCCATATATGAACTATTGGTGAATCTGTCAAACGGAAATGTGAGTTTTCGGTGACCTTTTATTTATTTGGGTTTGATAATTATAATATAAATGTTTGTTAAAGCATTTTCTATATAAAATGCTTTTAGATTCCATGTTCAGTCGGTGTCAGAGAGGGGATTTTGCCGCGCGACCTTAACTTCTGTTGCATTGATTAAAGAGTTGCAATGTTGTAGCGAGCTACAGTATACTGTAGGTTGCATTGCCAAATTCCGCCCCGAGTCATTTATGAACGAGTAACACATTTGGGTGTTTGTTTCTGTCTGCCCTTCATTATGAAACGTTCCCCTCGTGCCTTACACGTGATCTGTTGCAACAATTTAACCATTTTCTCATTATTATTTATTTCTCAAATGAAAATCTCAGTAAAGACTCGGGGGAGAGGGTGGGTCCGTGCATTCTGCAAGTTTCCATTACTTCCAGATGTTCGTCAGCTTTTCGTTGCCGCTTCTTGCTCTCAAATTTGCTCGTCTCGCCGCCTGTAGCCGGTCAGTGGCCACCGACAAGTTTCTATCCTCAGAAGATGGATTAGGGCTGATGGAGTTGTATGTCAGCTGGACAGGAGGAGGGTAAACCAATTTCATAGTCTATTTATCCAAACGGGGGCCTTTCAGAAGCTATTATAGGCTCTAAACGGAGTGATTTCCCTTAATGAACTAATACGTTGGCTCTTAATAGGCATACATGAAGACTTTCCCCCTGAATATGTAATTGTTTTGTGTTAATATGGAGACTTGTTAGTTTAATAATGAACTTTATGTCTCATGTGTGGTACACTACCCTGAATCACCAGTAAACACATGAGATGTTGTGATGATTCGGGACATGGACATGCGTTGGCAGGATGTGGGGGTGTAGTCATCAGCCTGTTACACTGCTTCATACATACAATACACCAGTGTCCTGCTGCTGGCTGTATGAAATCACCTCCCAGCGGACAGCCAAATATCGTAGCAGCTGCATGGCAGTCAGATGGGTTGTGTGCTGTCATTCATGGCGTCACACGGCCTGTGGCCCCAATATACGTTCTAATATTTACTTTTCTGCAGGGATTAGTTGTAGCCAGGTGTACCTAATAAAGAGGCAATAGAATATTTCCTTATTATTTTGAGATCTAGCGCATACAATAATAGTGGAAACCCATCAGAGACCCCATGGGAGTCCCTCCCACTGCAGTTTGGATTCTCTGGTCACGTTTGTGTGTAGCTGGAGTTTCCTTCAGAAGTTTTTTTTTTTTTTTTTTTTTTTTTTTTCACCGAGCTGGAATGTGATTGTCTCATTACAGCTTTTGGACCCAGGGGTGCAGTCGAGGAATGCAGGGTTATAAACCCCATTTGCACGCTGGGCCACACGCCGGGCATTTAAATAGTTTAGTGACGCTATAATGAAATTACACCCTGAAACCTGCGAGAGATCGTCTGTCACTGTCTATGAGGTCCACCACTGATAAGCAATGCTGGACAGTTTTACTGCGTGATGGATGAACTGTTCTGTTAAAACAATACACAACATTAATGATCATTGCCATCTCTGAAATAGATCAAGTTAGCGATATAAAGATCTATAATGTTGTTAAAAGGCCTTTTCAGTGAATGTGCATGCAGGTCACGTGTGTTTTTCTTCTTATTGTATCTGCACGTACCCCAGTCATATCAGAAAGCAGGGCTGGGCAATACATCCATGTTATATTGATGTTTTGTTATGAGACTAGATATTGTCTTCGATAATGTGGTAATATGACATAAGTGTTGTCTTTACCCACTTAGTGATTATATCCACATTAAATCTCATTCTGTAAATATTTAATATCGTCACAATCAGAATCAGAACCGTTTATTGCCACGGTATGTTGCACATACAAGGAATTTGACGTGGCGGGTGGTGCACAACATTAAACAATCAACAATAATATCGATATAGAGGTAATTGGTTTCAAATATTGTGATATTTTATTTTCTCCATATCGCCCAGCCCTGTTAGAAACCTAAACGGCCTGTTCTTCATCTGCAGCTTGTTTTTCTTTGTGTTATGATGATCAAACCCAAAGTTCTTAGTCGTATTAGAGGTTGATTAGTGTAAAGTAGGGATAAACGTACGGCCCATTATTACAGAAGTACCATCAGTCTGATTGGGTCAAGACAGAGAGGGTTAATGCTCCTACTTAACGTTATTGATTGGGGCAGCCAGCATAGAGATGTTTTCAGTGAGCATATGGTCTAGTCTGGCTTTTGAGGTACTAAGGATTGTGATTATCTGCCTAAATAATCTCACTTCATCTCCTTCAATACGCTAATCACTCAGAAAAGCAAGATGGACTTTTCTGTCCAGTAAAGCTCACACACACACTTGTTGGAATAGTCAGTGTGGTGGATGTTTTATTGTCTTTATGTCCGCAGTCTTTAGTTCAACAGCTCTCACTGAATCAGGAAGTAATTGATTAGATCCCTGAGAGGGAACCTCTTAAGTTCAGGGCCGCCGCAGTGAGGTTACTTCCTCCGCTCTGCTCGGTGCCACAACACACGCTGACCTGAGCTTTTAACCCCGGATCTGCTGTGACCGGCTCCCCACCGCCCGTCTTACTGCCATCTGGACTTCGTCTTCCTCCCCTCCAGACCCCACAGTTCTCTCTGCTCGCAATCATTCTTAATCCCCACCTCCACAACTGCACAGGAATTTTCTCCTAAATTTTCTCCCCTTTTTTTTTTTTTTGTCTTCTTTCCCGGTGCCGCTCCTTGCCGTTCAGCCCCACCCTTGCTCAGTTTCCTGTTGGAGGTCAGCACAATGACCAATAGCAGACTGGCGGGTGTTTACTCTGCTCCTGATCCAGGAGTAATGGGAGCTGGTCGGCTCCTCCTCTTGGCCGTACTCGAGCCAGACTGCTCAGCCCAGCGCCGTCTGCTCCTCCATACCACCACTCCTTAATGTAAAAAACAGGGCAGAGCATCCTGGAACGGACGTCCCACTGGATTACGATTTCACTGTCCTGAGTTTTAAGTCCAAATTTGTCAAAAACCACACAGCGGAACAGGCACACTCTGTGTTGATATGAGATCATCTGGCCTCTGTTCACGTGGTGAAGTCGTCTGTCATGCAGTGACGTACACGTTCAGCTACATTTCGCTTGGTGACAAACGACCACATTTAGCATTGTGAAACTGTTCGGGGGAGAGATTTGTTGTCATTTTTTCTGATTTATTATTCATGCAGGACCATTTGGCTGAATGAAGCCATCTGTGCTGCAGAGTGAAGAGGAGGACAAAGAAGTCTTAGTAGATAGATCAACAGCCGTGTCTCCTGTTGTGATCTTTATGTAGCATTTGAAACTCTTCCCCTTGTCTATATTGAGGTCTCTGCGGCCTGTTACTCTGAGGGGAAAACCTCTGAATAACATTCGGCTTTATTTGGTTAGACAAAATGCAGCTTCTCATAGGGATTCTCTATTGTCGGCCTATTTTTAGGGGAGGAATGCACAAATGATGGTAATCTTCTAGGCGGAGCCTTTTAAGATTATGAGGAAAGGTCCTTCTAAACTGTATAAAGTCACTGTGAGAAGTTCTCTCAGCCTATGTGATCGCTCAGCAGCAGTGATTCATACTGGTGGTGTTCAAATCAGAGAACAGTCATGGTCTTCTCATTCGAGAACTTTCCATCTGAAACTCTCAGCTGCAGTTCTTCCCTCCCTCCTGCAGTTTTGCCTTTCTTTCCTCACATTCCCACTCTTTCTCTCCCACCCTCCCTCACACACCGCACTGCTCTCTTCTGCTTTCTCTCTTTCTTTCTTACCCCTTCTCTTGTTTTTCTTTCTTTCCCGTTTACGCTCTCCTCCCCTTGTTACTCTTTCTCCTGGGCTGGGAGGAAGTGACTGGGTTGTTTCTGGATCCTTTGGGAATAGAAAGATGGAGCTCCCTTTTCCTGTAACCCTTTCTTCATCAGACTTCAAACTGTTGCCAGATATCGTCTCAGTTTGGCAACATCACTTTGCTTGGTTTGAAGAGAGGGGCAGTGGCAGAGCAGTGGTCATCTGAGAGCCTTTCAAAGCTAAAGTGATATTAGAAAAGGGTGCATTTGTAATCTGTTGTCAAAATGTTGCTACTGTCAGATTCATCATAAAGAAGACAGACAAATTAAAAGCAGCTACATCACTTGGCTTTTCATATCAGCGTGCCCTTAATAAATCAACCTGAAAGCTACAGCTGTGTTTGTGGATCTGTGGGAGTCTTCAGGCCTCAGCCAGTGTTTTCATCTGTGCTGTGTGGGAGTCGATGGGAGGTCAAGTTGTCTCCTGTAACGTTTGGTATTTGTCTTACACAAGTATTTGCCAACCACACGGTTGTCTTGCTTTAATCCTTTGAGAGCAGTTTTTGGCATTGATATATAAGTTTCTAGAATCGGGTAGGGATGCATTCATAATATTGTGTCATACACAATTAGCAGCACAGATTGTTGGACATTTTTGGAGCCTGGGGCACCTCTAGATATCAATCACTCAGTCCTTCTATTTCCCGTCTTTGTCAGTGTGTGGGTCCATAACAGCACTTCATCAACTGTTTGTTTGTTTTGAGGCAAGTTTCCTCACCTCGCTCTCGCTCTCTCTCTCTCTCTCTCTCTCTCTCTCTCTCTCTCTCTCTCTCTCCCCCCCTCCCCCCCTTGCTTTCTATTAGAACCAGCTGTGGAACTAGGGGCTGAATGAATGGCTCTTTGTGATTTTGCTGTCGTTCCAGTCTAAAAGGTCTGTTTCCCCCCGCCTGCCCCTCCACCCGCGGTGGTAGTGGCATGACCACAATGTGAAACAATGCGCTGAACAACAACACGTCTCGTTATGAAATTATGCAATGGTCACCCATCGGTGTTTTTTAGGCAAACGGTCGACCACTCCTCCACAGCAGCCTGACTCTGAGCAGCCGGAGCAGAATGTATGAGAATCAGCAGACACAGTCACGCAGCTTATCTGATCGACATGCAATGCAGAGGTTACAGCGCAAGCTTCACGTCTGTGTTGTCCATGAAGGGAACGCATTAGAAGGCTCATGAAGTCATCAGTCTGGCTTTAAGGTGATCTGTTCCCACAAAAAAAGTGGAGGGTGTGTGTGCGCCTGTGGATTTGGGGGTGTGAGTCACAGAGGCAAGAAAACAGAAAACATTGCCCAATCACATGGCAGGGAGGCTCCCGGCCTTGAATTGATTAGAGGGCCTTGTATTGGAGAGAGGAATGGGGTGGAGGGAAAGTGTTGGGAGAGCAGCTATATGCATGGATCAGGCTGCAGCACAAGGAGATCAGACAGTGTTTGGCATTTCATGGGGGTACATTGTCCACATCTGGCTCATCACTCAAAACCTCTGGAATGTTTTAGAATGTTTTTTTCTGGCTTTGCAACCTGTGTTTACAGTCTGGCGGTGGCCTCTCTTTTGAAACCCGTCTGTTTTTATCTCTGTGTCAACAGAGCTACACACCTCTTGACATGTTTACCTGATGTCTTCTGCTGACTACTTATCCGGATACCTGCTTTTATTTTCCTGTGATCTGGGCTACAAACTGCTACTATCAAAAACGGTGACTGCCAAAGTTCAAGTTTCCTTTTTTTCTGGTTTCCCACAGGTGCTGACTGTAAGAGTGCAAGAGAAGGAAGGGAGAGCAAGGAGCCTGGGGAGGAGAGATCCCGTCCTTGCAGCGCAAGCAGCTGGTATGAAGTGGAAAATAAATCCCTCTTCCTTCTTTTCCTAATTCACAAACCATTCCCAAGCTTGAGCAGAATAGTAATCGCCAAACGCTCAGAGAGTCGGTAAGGCAGTGGATGCAGTGGAAAAAAAGATCTGCTCTGGGTGGTGGGAAGAGTGGTATTTCAGACTGAGCAATACTGAGGTCTAATCCTTTGTATTGGCAATAATAATAAGGTGACTCAATGAATGGGAGCAATGAGTTTGATAAACTTGAGAGAGCTGACCTCAAAATGAGGCCTGGCATCTTAAATTACTCTTCAGGGTGGTCTCAATCCACTGATTCGCTCAAGGCACAATAATCTATAAACATGCTGTAAATCAAGCAGAATGTGTGATTGGGAGTGCAAAAATCAGCGTTTTGTAGTAGTTGCTGAGATGTCAAAGATGCTACACGACTACAGTATATTGCAGTTATTCTCGTGACAGCTTACAGGACATACCACAGATGTGTAATTTGTGCTGGGTGACCTGCATCTCATCCCCCCCAGGGCTGTCTTAATCTTAATAGCAGGGGATGGAGGGAGTAGAACTTCCGTTAGTGTGGTGTGCAGCTGTATGTGGCGGTAAGGGGGGTTGTGATGGGGGCAAAGGCATTTGTCCTGGATGAAGCTGGCCAGGGAGAGTCGCCTGAAGAATGGCAGGGTGACGATGAGGAAGGGCGCACACTGGTTTCTGTTCAGATGTCATCTCAAAGGAACTCTGTTTGCGAGCCGAGAGAGAGCGAGGAAGGTCAACCACTCCTCCCCAGACACCCATGCTGACACATCTGAAACACCCAATGAGCCACTGTTGGAGAAGCAGATGTGGAGGCCTGGTGGAGTGGGCGTTTTGAGGGGGTGATGTGGGACGAATGGCACCCGGAGAAGCAATAAGCAGAGAGAGACATTTTGAAGCAGTTCTCGTGTGTGGATGTGATTTGTAGAAAACTGCATTCAAAGGGAACTGCAGCGGACGAGCAGTCTCGTCTCCTGGGCCGGGATGTTTGGTTGCCTAACTGCAGATCCTAATTATATCTCATCAACTGTCCCCTGTCAGCGCCGTCCTCCACACACACACACACTCTCTCACACTCTCACACACACACTCTCTCACACTCTCACACACACACTCTCTCACACTCACATAGACATGCTCGCTCACTCTCAGCCACTCCCCTTCTCTCTGTCCTGTTCTCACTTTCTCACACATGTAGGCATACCCAGACCGCACTGTACAACATGAAGCACACGATCAATCTAACGCTTCCATGCCATGCTGGAGATAAACAGAGGCTCGCACTGCCTCACCTCGATGCCTATAATTCTTAGTTTTTAACATAACATATCTTTTAGATCCATGCAGTGCTCCCTATCTTCTTTCTTTCTCTAAAACTTTAATGTAAGGAAGTCTTCAATTTAGTGTCGGACATCTGATAAATTCCTCTGTTGGCAAAAAATATAGTTGGCTTAGTGTCAGTGCTCTATAAAGTTAACAGTGTAATCTTTTCCGAGGACTTTTCATCCTGTCAATGATGGAATGGGTCTGTATGTGCATGCATACGGTATTTCCATGCCTCACAGTGTGTGCAGTAATCTTGGTACGAGGGGTGATGAAGGGGCACCGATAAGGGGACTCGCACCAGGACATTAAACTGGCTGCAGGACTTCAAAAATACCAAGTCAATTCAGTCAGTGTTTCCAAGCGGCCTACTTTTCACAAAAGAGCAAGCAGTGACGAGGGTCACAAGGCAGCACCAGAGAGATCCGAGCCCCTTAAAGTCTAAAGTAATATGAGGGTGTTCAGCTGGGTAATGCTTTGGATGGCTTAAACATTACATCCTCAATTCCCACAAAGTGATGACCTAGAAAGTTAATCTTTTCCAAGCAGACACAAACTCACAGGCATTGGCATTGTGAGCTCTGTGTCATTGCTGGCACTTTGTGCTCTTTTCTCCCACAGAGAATAACAGTCTTTAGTTAATAAGATTCACAATGCATTACCCCTGATGGGGAAAATGTATTGGGGAGTTCTCAGCAGTTCACTATGCTTTCTGTGTCGAAGTACTGAGCGGGTGAATGGGGGAAACTGTGACCAGCTGAAACCTCCTGATTGTCAGCTGACGTGAAGTGAGGGTGGTGCGGGGGGGGGGGGGGGGAACAAGAAAAAAACAAAAAGAAGACACAGGAGGGGAAGATGTGGAGAAAGTGAGGAGGAGAGAGAGAGAGAGAGAGAGAGAGAGAGTATCTGCAAACCCTGAATTGAGAGGCGAAGTTGGCGTGCACCGATGATTCCTAATAAGGTTGTAACTGGCAGTCTCAAACCTCTGTCTTAGATTTAGCTGCCAGGAAACTTTCCTCTGTAACTCCTCTTCTCTGAACGCTCGGAACAGAAACAAACACACAATCGACTGTGACCCGCTATGCTCCCGAAAATGAACAGATAAAATTAGAAAGGGAGGCAGGAGGGTGATGTGGTGCAAGTAACACTTCTGACCATTACGCAAAAAAAAAAATATGGTTAAAAGAACAATCATTTAAAAGAATGCAAACCATATGTAATGGAGGACTCACATCTAGTCCATATGCCTTTTTATGGTAAACATTTTGACTCGTCACAGGTGTAAATAATATAATGAATGATGGCAGAATTCATGGTCCTAGTGTTGTGCATGCTGGCTCACTGTCTCTCTCACTGGAGCACTCGAATAGCACAGAGACATCGTTAGCCATCCTGCTATGACAAGTCACAGTGTCTGCTGTGAGAAAAGGCCTATTTATAACATGTCCGTATAAACACTGTCACGTTTCTGTTAGGCATACACAATCATGTACGATTGTTCTAACCTCCGTGTCGTTATTTCTGCAAGAACAGCATCTCTTGTTCTTTTTAAAGGGGACATCTCATTAAAAATTCACTTTTCCAGTGCCAACATATTTATTAAATATCTCTGAATGGAAGTCTAGTTGTTCCATATTGTTTACTCATTAATGAACTCAACTCGTGTCTCTCTCTCCACAGGTGAGAGTTGGTGGGTGACTGTTTGAAAAGCAGCCACAGGCTCATTATGGCTCAGGTGCTGCATATGGACCCCGGCTTCCCAGGTGCAGCTTCTGTTTATTTTTACTAATGTTTCTTCACATGATAATGAAGTTATTTTTAGATTATTACTTATTTTTGTTAAGATTTAAACTGTCAGACACTTATAAGGTCAGGTTATAGGAACTGTGCCATTCCACTCTGTGCCTAATTTGCTGATTGTTTCAGAGTACATATGTAAATACACAGTAGCCCAAAGTTAATGCTGTTATCTAAAGTCTGAGCCCAAGATTAGATGCAGATTTCCGTTTGTTTAAAATTGATTTCCTTCCCCCTCAGGCAAACTCAACCCGCCTGCTCCCCCCTCGCTGCACGGCAAAGAACAGGAGGCGCCCTACTCAGTGGAGACCCCCTATGGCTACCGTCTGGACCTGGACTTCCTCAAATATGTTAACGACATAGAGAAGGGAAACACAATCAAGAAGGTACCCATCCAACGCCGGCCACGCTATGGCTCCCTGCCCCGTGGCTATGGCTACACCGGGTCCTGGTGGACCTCCACCGAGTCTCTGTGCTCCAACACCAGCATGGACAGCCGACACTCCTCCTACTCTTACTGCGCCCCAGGCTACCACACGACGCAGAGGCCCAGCTTCAGCAGTGCCCGGGTGGAGAAGACCCTGTTGGATGCACGCAGGAAGCTGGAGGAGGAGAAAGAGGGGCGGAGATACTCCAACCTGGGCAGCATGCACAGCAGCATGGCAGGCTCTAACACCTCGCTCAGCAGTGCACACAGCTTCAACCGAGCCCATGGTGGAGGCGGATCCTACACCCCATTGAGTTCTGGCCTGTCCACGCCAGTGACCCCGACTCCAGCCCACCTGCAGCACGTCAGGGAGCAGATGGCCACGGCCCTCAGGAAGATAAGGGAGCTTGAGGAGCAGGTGAAGACCATCCCTGTGCTGCAGGTCAAAATCTCTGTGCTGCAGGAGGAGAAACGCCAGCTCAGCGTCCAGCTGAAGAGCCAGAAGTTCTTGGGTCATAGTCTGAGTTTCAACCGAGGTCGTCCCAGAGGCGAGCTCTACATCGACATCCCTGAAGAAGAGGTGATAACCGGGGCAAAGAGCAGCAACAAGCCACTGTCACCCACCACACCCGACGGCTCCAAGCTTCAGGATTCTGGGTGTGAGATTGAGGACACGGTCATTGTTGGTGGAGCGCGACCGGATGCAAAGCGGGAAGTGCGCACCATTGGAGTGGGACCAGAGGTCTTGAGGGGCAGTCGTCACGTGGGAGTCGGTGTTTGGGAGGAGGATTTGGGGCTGCTGCCAGAGACAAAGGCTCTGAGGAATCAAGTGGGTCAGCTTGAGGGCCAGCTAAAGAGGACTGTGCAGGAGCTGCAGGATGCGCAGCAGCAGGCTGCAGCAGTCCAGAAGGCCCCTCAGGCAGAGCATCCAGTCATGGCTACCAGCGTCGGGTGGCAGGAGCCACAAGGCTGCAGCCTGCACACTCTGGTCAGCTTCACACAGCTGCCCCAACAGAGGGAACAGAGGACTGTGGGAATCCAGGTGTACACAGTCGAGCAGCCCACTGTGGTGGAGGTGGGCACACTGCTCCGAGCCGAGATCTGCAGCTCCCCTTCCCTTCAGCAAGCGGGTGGACTCGTGGAGGGCCACCACAGAGGACAAGCTGAAGGTGTCTGACACTAACATTTAGGATTATAAGACAGGACTCATTGCATTGCCATTGGATTGCATTAGAATAAGTTATAAATTAGTATAAGTGTAACCAGTAAACTAACAAATGTATTTTCTTGTTATTGTATTCCTCCATAAGATATTTGATTAGTTAAGGCTGAAAAGTTGAAGTCTTATTTCTGTCTCACAGATGCTCCAGTTGAGCTGCCGATTGCTGTCAGCTCCAAGCAGGTGCGCGATGTCCTAAAGAGCGAGTTGTCCACTTCGGTGCCGGTAGCTAAACCCGCCGTTGCTGTAGGCACCTCTGGTAATCAGATCAGTTTGTTGCATTCAAGAGAAGAAGAGACGGGCGTGCAAACATCCCCAGAGGCTGTCCAGTCACAAGAAGGCCCTAAGACAGGTAACCGGACTGCACTCTGGTCAAACACCCCTTAACTATCACTACCTTTGTTCTGACCACATCATGTTCCATTTTCCAGCCTCATCTCCCCAGTCTTCTCTGAGGTCCATTATGAAGCGGAAAGCCGAAGGTGAACCAGGATCTCCCTCTACGAAGAAGAACCTCCAGTTCATTGGAGTCAATGGAGGGTAAGTGTCAAACATTTTCACCACTCACCCACTGAACCAGTGTACTTCGCCAAAGGTATAATGGTGTCAGTTGTGGTGGAGCTGTTTGACAGGGAAACGTGTTCTTGACTTGCAGCTACGAGTCCACATCATCAGACGACAGCAGCAGCGAGAGCTCGGATGAGGGGAGTGACTCCAGCGAATATCATGAAGCCAGAGAAAAACTGCCGGACTCAGCGGCACAGCAACAGAAAACAACCCACAGCAAGGCTCTCCAGCCTCCAGAAAGCAACAGTGTACCTCAACAGACTGCCGTCAAGCCACGAGCCGAGTCACACCAGAGTCCCAATCAATCTGCAACTGGAGACACAAAACTGCCAGACAAAGCCCTCCAGTCACCAGCAACAGACACTGCCTCCGACTCCTCTCCAAGTCCTCCATGTCCAGCAAACGAAGCTGCCGCTAACGAGACTGTCGACCGGCCATCGCAAAAGCGCACAGTCACCCAGGAGATCACCTCCACATCATCAAGCACTGAATCCACTCCTGAACAAAGCTCCGTCACCTGCTCTTCATCGCTGTGTGTCACTAAAACCACTGAGATTACCACGCAGCAGTTCACCGTCCAGTCAGACACAACCGTCCTCTCCAGCCAATCGGAGCCGAAGCCAGCAGCTGAAAGCCTTACGAAGGACACTGCCACCGTATCAGCCAAGCAAGTCAGGTAAACATACACATGGTTAACAAACGGACTGATGTAATGATATTACATCAGTCCGTTAGTGACTGATGTTGTCTCCTTATCTGTCTCAGACTGGACCTGAGTGACAGCCTGATGTCAACTCTTCATGCCCTGCAGAAAGCCCTGGGGGAACCCAACGCCTTCAGCCAGCAAGGAGCAGTGAGTGTTCATTTAATTCACTTCATTCAACCAAGATAATCCACTCAGCATTGATACCGCTTTCCAGCAGATCCAGTAGTGTCCTTTTGATTGATTTATTTCAAATGTTCACTCAGTCATAAAACATCATGAACTCTGTCCTGACTCTTTAAAAAGGGGAATGTTTTTTTTTTTTTTACCATGGGATTTTAAACTAGAGGTTATAGGTTTCTTTTAATACAAGATTGCTAAATGTTTGAATTAGTTAAGGATACATAAGCTTCTGTCATACAAAAAAAAATGAGAAAAGGATTTGCTGTGTTGAGCTTTTAGGTTTAATTTTACAGTACATGAAGAGCATACAACACGTTTCCTGTGTGTTTGGTTTCCAACAAACCCTTTCCTTATATTTGATTTTGATAGGCTTATCGTCTATCGTCGGTCTGTGTGCCTGTGATCTCTGCTTTTTTTCTGTCAAGTGTGCATGTGTCTCAAATCGTCCTCATTGTGTGTGACCTCAGAGGGCAGCCTACACCACCGTGCTGCAGGAGTGGCTGCGCGTGTCCTGTCACAAAGCAGCGGACACGGCTGTCGTCGAGGCCTATATGAACACCTTCGCCTCAGTCTCCCCTCAGCTGCTGGAGTTTGTGATCAACATGGCAGACGGCAACGGGAATACAGCGCTTCACTACACCGTCTCCCACTCCAACTTCCCCGTGGTGAAACGGCTGCTGGACACTGGTGTGTGTGTGTGTGTGTGTGTGTGTGTGTCGAAGTGTGTGTGTGTGTGTGTGTAGAAGTGTGTGGGATTTTGGGTGTGCGTGAGAAAAAAGTAAAAGCGAGACAAGATTACATAAGGTCGATTTTAAGTGTAGATGTGGCTGATATGGGCTCTAAATGTCCATAAGTTAAGAGCATTAACATTTAAAATCAAATAAGAAAATGTCAGATGTTCAATTGTTCTCCTTTACTCACTGAGCTTGAAACATTCCCGTCTCCAACACGTCATACATCCCTGTCATTGTTTGTGCTGCTGTTGTACCCCATGTCTCACTGATTGCCCTATTTACCTGACAGGCCTGTGTAATGCTGACAAGCAGAACAAGGCGGGCTACACGGCCATCATGCTGACAGCGCTGGCCGCATTCCACTCTGACAATGATCTCCAGACCGTCCTGCAGCTGCTGCGCACAGGGGACGTCAACGCCAAGGCCAGCCAGGTGCGCCCTCTACTGCTCCTTAGCTTTTACTGCACCTCCGCAAACAACCAAACCCATGTGACTTACAGAGCATTTACATGTGCTCTTCAGTACTCTCCTCGCTAATGTGTCTGATAAAACTGCAGCGTTTTAGTCACCAGGTGCAGCATGTAAAGAAATAGTTCTGAAATTAGATCCACATGTTGAAAATTAGTTTAAAGATTTTAAATGCGTGTTTGTAGGCTGGTCAGACTGCGCTGATGCTCGCGGTCAGCCACGGTCGAGGGGACATGGTGCGGGCGCTGCTGTCCTGTGGGGCACAGGTCAACATCCGTGATGACGACGGCTCCACGGCACTCATGTGTGCGTGTGAACACGGTCACGTGGACATTGTGCGTCAGCTACTGTCTGTGCCGGGCTGTGATGCGACTCTCACTGACAATGTAAGCATTTATTTCCTTTCCATCTTCGTTCTTCTGTCTCTTTATTGTTTTTTTTATTGACAAAACCTGCCCAGAAACATCTCACCTTCATCCCCTCGTTTCTTTCAGGACGGCAGCACAGCTCTGTCCATCGCCCTGGAGGCCAGCCAGAACGACATTGCAGTGCTTCTGTATGCTCACCTCAACTTTGCAAAGCCTCCTTCCCCTGTGAGTCCTTTGATAAACTGCTAACACACACTTACTGTTGTCATAAGGGCATCCTTTTTTGAGAAACCATTTTACTCCAGCATTCAACAATCACACAGGGAGAAATCTCCCATAGAGGAAGAAGTTATTGACTGATTTGTCCACTTACGACAGCTGTGAGTGTAACCACGCAGCTTGTTTTTTCTACTGCATGCAATGAAAGCCTTCCCTCTGTACAATCGGGTATCGGTAGTATACTTGGTCCTAGCTAAGGACATAAGTATGACATCAAAGTTTTCATCAATAATACCATGTTTTGTTTTCTTTTTAAATTTGTTCAGGTGTCACCGAAGTCTCCTCTCTTGGGTTCCTCTCCTCCTGCCGGTGAAACCAAATAAAGCCTCCTGCAGCCAATCCACAGTAACTACTCATACTACAGCGTGATTTTTTTTTTTTTAAATCTTTGTAGCTACGGCAAACAATGGGTTTGTGTGTGTGCGCGTTTGTTTTCACCCTCCATAGTTTAAGTGCATTATAATGTGCAGATAATTACTACAGCTTCCACCATTGTTATCCGTTTCTTTTTGTACACTGTGGTCTTTTTTTTTAATCACAGTGGTGGTTGAAAACATGGATTTCTTGTGTGTTACAATCTGAAGAACTGAACATCTAGCGGCTGTTTAGACACCAGTCTAGTCATGCAGTGATCCAGTTATCAGCACGGGTTTTAGCGGCACTTACAAGTCCAAACTGTTCACTGAGTTTCGTTATAGGGTTCATTATAATACACTTTTTAGTTTTACTCCATATGAATGTCATGTTAGTTGCTTTATAGAGCGATGTGTTTTCATTGTAATGTGTACAATAGCATTGCCACAGTAGCATCATTATGTGTGTGACCATCACAGTCATCTGGAATAACAAAAGCCACTTATGGATAAGTGTCCTTGCACCAAGTAGGTCATTGGTGCTACAAAAATCTAACTTCAAATATATCAATGTTTATACACAAGATTTATTAAGTCTGGAGTATTTTTGATATTGATTTTTTCAAATTTTTAATTAATTCAGCACCTTCAAGGATCAAATTTTTTTATTTCCCAAACAACGGTGAAATTATTTCACCTTTTTAACCAGAGGACAGACATTTTTTTTCTACGGCGACTACATTTCTCAAAATAAAACCCAAAGACATGTATCTTATCAGCTCTGTGACACTGTATATTGTGGTGATAATGGTAACACAGGCCGAGCATCAGTGTGACGGAAGAAAGAGGGCAACATTATTCTCTGAAGGCGACGGGACTGTGCTGTTTGTATTTTTGTACGTGACGGTATTTGGGATGGTAGTAAGGAAAGATTAGAGTGTTTCTGTGTTTGTAATATTCTGTGCTTTTAAGATTTAACGAGACTTTGTTGAGAAATGACTGAAAGCACTGGTGTAGCCACCTCTGTGGTCATGCTGGTGAGATATGTCAGGGGACCAGGAAGTGTCTGATTGGGGTGCCGTGTAAGATGTGAATATCAAAATAATATATGTCAATATAAACTGCTAGTTATTATGCCTAAAATCTAATTCCTCGAACAAAAGTGCATAGGCTATTGATGTCCAAATTTATATTACTTTTTAAAGACTTTTTCACAATTTTCATATTCACTTTTGAGCAATTGAATTTTTATAAACTTTTGTTTTTTTTAATTTATCTATCTTTTTATACATTTGGAACTTTTAAGCTCACGCCTACTTTATGTAATCGCACAGCTATTTTCTTTTATGAAGGTTTATGTAAAATGGTAGACTGTGTTTCTCCTCTTCCAATTTGTGGATTTTGAAAAAACAATGAATTAATAAATGTGGACCACACTGTTTCTATATCGTATTTATTCAATATTAATATTGTTTGCATGTCAGTTGCCATCAGTGTTTAGCTTGCACTAGACAATGTGCTACGTCCTAGTTAGTTCTAACTTTTATTTGTTTTGCCTGTTTGTTTTATACAATATTGGTTTAGTTTTTTTACAGACTTGAAGTAATTGATATCTAATTGGAAGTGCATGTGATGAAATGTCCACTAGAAGGCGCTCTAATACAGTTAAGCAAGTTCTTCAGTCGCATCACTATTGACAAACAACACTGCTCTCTCATCTACAGGGTCCTAACTGTTGTGACCCTTTTTAGTTTACATGAATACTTCAATTTCATTCCCAACAGCATAAAAAATGTGAGATGATGTTTTTTATTTGATGTTGCCAAAACAAAATGACCTTCATATTTTTGGTAAACGATTAGGAATCTTTGTTCTGTGGTATTTAACACTGAGAGATATCATTTATATACTATAACAAAACAAATGCTCCGTTAGTGGATGTTCAAACACTAACCTGTCACAAAAAGCCGGTCGACAGGAAGAGGCAATGTCTGAAGTGCAGGAGACTTGAACTGGGCTCCAGCCTGTACACATCAGGAAGCAGACCCTTTGATGTAGATGGAGCTCTCACACAATTTGGCCCTTTTTCTTGATGTTCCTTGCAATTCAAGTAAAAGGTGTTTTGTACCCGCTCAATTCCAGTCTGAAATGTTGCTTCATGTCTGGAAAAAACTCAAATGAAGAGGTTTCTGGGCGATCAATGGGTCTGATGCAAAATCTCCAGGACCAGGGATCAAATGTGACCTCCTGACCTCCTGCTTTCCTGCTGTAAGCCGTTCAGATTGGCTTTCTTTTTCAACTTGACGGCCCATTTCTGGCTGTGAACAGCACTGTTAGGAAGCTGTCTGTGTTTCAGGCAATAACGCTGCAGTGACGATGCATACAAATCCCTTTTCTCGCTCAGTAGAAAAGTTGTCGTCTTCAGAGTCATGACTTTCAGGCCCATCTGCTTTAATGGTTTTTCTAGTCCTTCAAAAACAACGTTCAAGTCCAACTAAGGGAACCAGTTCGACGATTCTTAAATGGAACTGGCCAAGCCGCAAGATGCCTCGGCCGTTTGTCATGAAGAGGCAAAACTCAACATTTGTAATATACAGTATTGTTAGACATCCGCGTTTCAGCTGGTGATCTTCATCACAGTCATCCGCCACAAGCAGAAACGAGTGAGTCTAACAATACTGAATATTACAAGTGCTGCTGGAGTTTTTCCCTTCTCTATCTACTTCGGAAGAAGGTGAAGTTCAGAAATCCGACTGCTTCTACAATCCTTACCACTTGTGGTCAGCTGCGATCACAGATGCTAACAAGCCGACCCTGGAACCAGTTTGACCCTTCTCTGGTGGCTCCTGTAAGAAAGTAAGTATGTCCTGCTTGGTTTGAGGCTTCAGCGCAGAAAGGACAACCTGAATCGAGGGTGTTGATAGATCAAGGACCAACCTGAGACCATCAGTGAAATCAAGATGAATTTGGGTTTTAAAGGTGCAATGACATTTTGAAGAGTGCTCCAATGTTTTAAAATGATGTCCTTTTGTTAACAAAGAGGAGGAGGAAGCAGAGCTACAGTAGTTTTCTTCTCACTTTATTTGTGCAAATTGTACTTATTTTATTAGGCAATGGACAGCCATGCACATTACTTTAAAATATTCAATGTGTTGCATTTTGAGAGTCTGCTCTCACAATCTCAAAGAAAATCACTTGTCATAGCACCAGCTGTTCTCCTCAGACAGCTGCTTGTCTTTGGGAGGAGTCGCTAAGATAACAGGGCAATGTAAGCAATGCCTATGGTCGACACCAAAACAGTGCTGTTATGAACTATGCTTGAGACAATGTAGGATTTAATCAGAAATGAGAGAGCTGTTTTTATTTTTTCTACGAAAGCAAAAAGGTTCAGTCACTTCAGCTTTGACTTTTAAACAGTGTGTCTCCAAGAGTTAAATGAGATCACTTCTCTCACATTAACTTCATTATCTGCACTAGATAGCAGGTGAACTGACCTAACGGCACTAAATGTGACCATGATCATATGAGCATGTGAAGCCAAACTGTATGGACAGTAACAAAATGAAACGTGTAGCCTGAACAGATCTGTCATCCAAAAGCATTCCGCCCTGAAACAAATGCTCTGCTCGTTTGGTTAGAATTGACAGCCAATTTCCGGTTATGTAAAGCAGCTGTGTGTTCTTAGATATCGGCTGAACTACAGGCTGGAAATACAGCTTATCTATCGATTCTTCTGAGTGGATCCACCCTTACAGCTGCAGCATAGTGTAGATACGCCTAAAACACATCAGGAAACACAGAAAATGACTTCAGTCATTGTGTTGGGAGGTTTCCAACTGCTGAACAAATCTATTCATATTACTAGATTGCAGAGCCTTTAAATAGGTTTGGTCTCTGTATGTTTGATAATTTTGGACAGAGGCCAATAACCGCAGTCAGACATTAAAATGAACCATTTTATAGACTTCATTAGTGAGTAAATATAATTGGTTGATTGCTGAAATTTTGATCAAACTGTTTATGAAAATACTACATATATAAACATGCTTTTGTAATTTCATATTTTCATTATGTAATTTCCCTATGATCATTATATCAATGATATATGCACGTGTTGATTTTATCGAGCCATCACGTGGCCCACTGCTGCATATCTTAGAGGAGGTTCTGGGTGTGCCTCTGTTTCAAGCATAAAACCCCTCAGAGTTTGGGCTGATCGCGGCACTCAACAGTAGCTCAGCGAAGACAAGATGACCACTCTCAGTGCTAAGGACAAGGAGGTAGTCAAAGCCTTCTGGGCTAAAGTCTCTGGAAAGGGGGAGGAAATCGGCACCGATGCTGTGGCCAGGTAACTATGA